ATTTCACCCATAAAATTTTAGTTCTCTTGGTGTATTTCAAGATTATTTTCTTTAAATCAACACTGCACTGCATTATATATTGTCAATATGTAAAATAAATTTCAAAATGACCAATAATTTGCTTGGAAACACAGAAAACAGCATTTAGTTGAAGAGAGTCTCAAGCAAGATGTTACCTCCAGTGAAAACAGTGAGAGACTAATGCCTGTTTGCTGTGTTAAGAGGCTGGATGCCGCGCATTAAACTAGTCACTTTACCTTCAATTATGTTCAATAATTGTTAAAATGACTAAAAAATTAAATATTAAACTTTTAAAATTATTGAATAGTATAAACTTCTTGATATTTACTAAAATAGTAAGGAATTTAAGCCCTAGAACCGATTAATGTATTGGCGGACTGATACTAAAGCTGGTTGCCCGGTCAGTGCAAGCGAAAACATGTTGAGGTCGGTTTGTAAGAAATTCGTTAACCGAATTGAAGATCCTTATGGAAGGCAGTTCGTTAACCGAAATTTCGTTAACCGAGGCGTTCGTTAAACGAGGGGTCACTGTATGTGTGTGTGTATGTATATATATATATATATATATATATATATATATATATATATATATATATATATATATATATATATATATATATATATATATATATATATATATATATATATATATATAAATATATATACAGAGTATATATATATATATATATATATATATATATATATATATATATATATATATATATATATATATATATATATATATATATATATATATATATATATATATATATACAGATTATATAGCCTTGGTCAATTGAACCCAGAGGGTCCCGCGTTAAGTGAAATCCGCGTTAAATGAACAACAGAACATATGGGATTAATTCCAATAGAAACCGGCCCGACCCCCAAACTCCACTTTTTGAAGGCACATACCTATGTTGTAGTAAAAATAACATCTTAATTTTATGATGGTACATGCACACAATTAATACTTAAGAGAAATAGAGAAATACAGTCGCCAAGTTAATGTCCATTCAAATAATGGACTCAACTCCCTCCCCCTCTCACACTACACAGCCGGCTAACAGATGGTCGGTCGGTCCCTCCCTCCCCCCCCCCACCAACCGTCCCAAGGAGATGTGTGGGATAACCTCAAACTAAAGTTAGGAAAATATAATTGACATTGCTGGATTCCTTGTAAGACCAGGAATATTTTGAATATAAATGTCATATATTTTGGACAAAAGATAACAGTTACCTAGAGAAAAATTTTTATCTAAAAATTGTAAGTTTAAAGCAAAATATATGATGTTTATATTCAAAATGATCACCAAATTATAAGAATTCCAGCAATGTAAATTATATTCTGACCGGGTAATTTGTATGAATTTTATGAGCTAAAACAAATATCTTCAGTTAATAAAAAAAAAAATAATCTTCACAACACTATCTGTCAAAGTACCCCACCTTGCCTCCCCCCCTCTTCCAACCGCGCGGTCAGTCCCAACCCTCCCCCCCACCCCCCACCAATCCTCCCTTCCAGAGTTTTTAACATTTAGTATTAAATAATACCTCAGATTAAAGTTAGGATAATATAATTGACATTGCTGGATTCCTTGTAAGACCAGGAATATTTTGAATATAAATGTCATATATTTTTCACAAAAGATACCATAGTTACCTAGAGAAAAATTTTTATCTAAAAATTGTAAGTTTAAAGCAAAATATATGATGTTTATATTCAAAATGATCACCAAATTATAAGAATTCCAGCAATGTAAATTATATTCTGACCGGGTAATTTGTATGAATTTTATGAGCTAAAACAAATATCTTCAGTTAATAAAAAAAAATAATAATTCTTCACACGGTAACAGATGGTCGGTTGGTCCCTCCCTCCCCCCCACCCCCCACCAACCGTCCCAAGGAGATGTGTGGGATAACCACTAAATTTTAATTAATAATACCTCAAACTAAAGTTAGGATAATATAATTGACATTGCTGGATTCCTTGTAAGACCAGGAATATTTTGAATATAAATGTCATATATTTTGGACAAAAGATACCATAGTTACCTAGAGAAAAAATTTTATCTAAAAATTGTAAGTTTAAAGCAAAATATATGATGTTTATATTCAAAATGATCACCAAATTATAAGAATTCCAGCAATGTAAATTATATTCTGGCCTGGTAATTTGTATGAATTTTATGAGCTAAAACAGGCAGTCAGGCAGGGTGGCGGGTGGGGCAAATCTAAAAATAGCGTCTCGGACACTCACCGCGTATATGTGGAAAAAACCCGCGTTAAGTGAAAGTTCAGCTTTGGCAAGGCACCGCGTATATGCGAAAACGCGTTAAGTGAAAGCGCGTTAAGCGGGGTAAAACTGTGTGTGTATATATATATATATATATATATATATATATATATATATATATATATATATATATATATATATATATATATATATATATATATATATATATATATATATATATATATATATATATACACCTAGACCCCCACTTACGACGGGGTTAGGGACCCGAATCCAGGTCGTAAGTCCGACATGGTCGTAAGTCCGACATAGATAAAAAAAATAAAAATAAAAAAATAAAAAAATAAAAAAAATTTAATAAAAAATCTACAATGAAATACAGTACAGTAAAAGTAATGAATAATGATGAATGGATACAGTACAGTGAAAGTAATAAATAATAAGGAATGGATACAGTGTGACTGAGCACTTAACCTTTAATGTAGTCAGCTGAATGCACATGGGGCCCCCATAATTTTCTAATTATACATGGAGACTACATTAACTGGAAACGTTTCGGTATAGAAAATGCGTGTGTCATTTAAAAAAAAAATAATAATTTTTTTTATCTATATCTGAGGCGGTCGTAAGTCCCGACGGTCGTAAGTCCACGTAGTCGTAAGTCGGGGTCTAGGTGTATATATATATATATATATATATATATATATATATATATATATATATATATATATATATATATATATATATATATATATATATATATATATATATATATATATATACATATATATATATACAGTGGGGTATGCTATAACGAACGGATTCTACTACGAATATTCCTATAACGAACGGTTTTACCTATAAAATTGAGAATGCTATAACGAACAAAACTCCTACAACGAACATTATTTAATTTTTTTTTTTTCTAATTTATTGTTTTTTTATTACAAATATTAATGATATTCTTTATTTCAGGGGTTTAGATGCATATTTATGCACTTTTTACAATTTTTACAATTTTATATTATATTTTTCAGTGTTAAGTGGTTGTATTTGGGGGCCTGGAACGGATTAATCCTATAACGAACGAATGCTGTAACGAACAAGGTTCTAGAACCAATTAGATTCGTTATAGCATATCCCCGCAATGTGTGTGTGTGTGTGTATATATATATATATATATATATATATATAAATATGTATATATATATATATGTATGTAATAATATGTATGTATATATATATATATATATATAATAATAATAATATGTATACGGTATATAATAATATGTAATATGCAGTATAATAATAATAATAATATATGTAATAATATAATAATAATAATAATAATAATATGTAATAATATATATATATATATATATATATATATGTATATATGCTATATATATAATATATATATATATATATATATAATAATAATATATATATATATATATATCAACAACAATATATCATAATATATATGCTGCTTCTTAATATATATATATATATATATATATATATATATATATATATAACTAACTATATATATATATATATATAACTATATATATATATATATATATATATATATATATATATATAAGGGCAATTTAGGAGTGTTTCTGACTTTACACGAGGTCCCAGGAATGTAACTCTCGAGTAACTTGCAAGTCTACTGTATATTGGAAAATTTTGATAATTTTGGTAGAAGTGATAAATTTGAAATACAGTCAACCCTCACTTTACGCGGTTAATTCAACCCACGGGGTACCGTGGAAAGTGAGAAACGCGTAAAGTGAACAACATAACATATGGGATTAATTGAAACAGAGACCAGGCCGACCCCCAAACTCCACTTTTTGACGACACACAACTATATTGTAGTAAAAATATTATCTTAACTTTATGATGGTATGCACAAACAATTAATAATTAAGAGAAATATCAATAATATTAGGTTTTCTAACACTTACATTAGTAGAAAAGATGGCTGGGCACACGGGGATGGGGGATTGGTTCCGAGGCAGAGGGCCGATTATTGGCCCTCACCTGTATCACTTGTATCAATTGTATCACTATCCACCATAGAGGCTTGCAGGGCCTCTTTGTCAAACCCCTCAAAGTCCATATATAAGTCCATATCTTCACTATAATTATCACTATCACTGACTTGGGCCGGCTGTGGTGGGTGGCAGGTGAAGAACTCGGTAATGTTTTGATGACTGGGCAACCTTGTGCGCACCATGCTCGCGCAGCTTACACAACATAGCGGATGGCGGGAGAGGGCGGGAGGTTTGAATCCAAAGATGGCGCAGCTCGCCAGCCGCTCTCTGCGTAAAGGGGTACACGCACCGCGGAATGTGAGCATTCCTGTTTCGGCAGGGTACCGCGTAAACGTGGAAACGCGGAATGTGGGACCGCGCAAAGCGAGGGTTGACTGTACTTCCTGCACAATTTCCCTCGTGAAATAATAAACATTATCGCGATATACTGTACAGTATAGGAAAATGTCGATAATTTTGGTAGCCGCGATATAAAAAAAATCGTGATATAAAGTTGCTATATATCCCAACCCTCTGCATGCGATTACTGTATATACATGCAGTCCGGGGGAGGTAAAAGACTCGGGGAATCCAATCAGCTATTTGTAGCTATAGCCGAGAGGCGTGTTTTACGGGCCAGGTTTGCGTGGAAAGGGTATAGTACCATTACTTACCTTTTGATAATAATCTATGTAGGAAATCTCATCTCCCCTGTAAGGAAATTTTGATGATGGAGTCAGATTCCAGTCCACATCATCTACTCTGTATGTTTTATCATTGTAAGTTGTCATTACAATGGCTCCCAGGAGTAGTTTGTCAACTTCCTTTTTCTGTGTTAAATAAATTAACAAAAACCAGTTACAAAAACATAATGTACACACTTCATATAGGATGCAATGTTTAGTGTGTAACTAAAATTAATACTGTATTGCAGGGCATTACAAAATTATGAATAACAAACATGCAAAATTAATAACAAATCTAGGTACTAGACACCATGAATTCTAAAGGAAATATTTAGGAGGGGAGGTGGTAATTATAAAGTACAATAATACTCCTATTATAAAGGAAAACATCAATGAAACGGAAAATAAGAAATATTTGTGATTTCCGGCAATTTTACTTACGTGCACTATTAAAAACATAAATAAAATTTTCGGGACTTTTATGGGTTGACCATGATCACTTTATGGCAGCTCATCATGCAGCTCAGTTTCTTGCAGCCACTAACTCTTAATGTCATTTCTTATAACCTCTTCCTCTGTCACTCTTTGCCTAACCCTGGCTCTCCTCCCCTATAAATTCACTCAATTGGTCTCCTCCATTCATTCTCTCCATATGCCCAACAATGTTACCCTATGTCTGCACAAAACTTTGCCAGTACTCTAAATACCCATTAGTTCTGCAATACAATATCATCCCCACTACTCCAGTCTCCTGCACCATGATGAACACCTTGTGCACTTGTTGCTGAAGCACATCTACCCGGTACACACACACACACTAGTCGTGGAGAGGCACTTCTACATCACTTTCCTCATGGTTTTTAAACACTTTTCCTACTCATTCTTCTGGGTGTCAAGGCAACACTACTGTGGCAAGAAGTCTTTCCAGTAGTGCGGCAGTGGTGCTAGATACTTTGTCCATGATGACAGAAATACTACAGGTGCAGCAGGGGCCACAGCAGGCAAGAAAATTTGCTACGAGTCACAAAAATTCATTCTAGCAGAAATCAGGTGCCAAACTTTAAAATTTTGGCATGGAAAAATCCTGAATCTACAGATGTTTACTGTCTTTGCAGAACCAAAGGCACTTATCTATTTATAGTGGTATAAAATGGTTGGAAACAGAAACAAAAACTTACAGGAAACAAGCAATTACGGATTGAAAATGGGTCTACAGTGAACCCTCCAAGATTCGAGCCCCGTAAATCTCGATTTCAGAAGATTCGGACAAAGTTTTGGGGTTTTGGTAGCTAAGAAGCTTCCCTAAGAAGCATTCCCAAAACAGAGGAAAGATCATTTTGGCCTGTTTAACCAAGATGTCAGAGCGCGGGAATCAGGTGCCCGAAGCAGGAAACAAATAGAGTTCTCAATTGTTGTTTGTGGGAATATTATTTCATTCACTGTACTAATGACACATTTTTTCTTACTATGTTATCATAAGTAAATGCATGGCTTATATCATTTGTTTATCACTGTGACCAACCATCACAGTTTTCAAATTAGACTTTAAGAAATGTATTTCTTCCATAAGTATTTCAATCTTGCGCATGGCAACGGGAGCGAGTAGGTGACCACTAGTTAAGAGTGTCTCTGCTCTTGTAATTCTCCTGGCTACCTGCAATATTTCACTGGATTTACTATTATTATTATTAGTGTTTACTGATATAATAGTGCTTAATACACCTTTTCACATATCCGTTGAGACATTGTTACATAACTATTTGACAAATTTCATAACCGAATGACAGAACACATATCGAATGACAATCTAAAATAATTGTTGGTGGTATGTCATTCTCCAATTGTTACATTCTCAAACTATATGTAGACTGTCGGTTTATTGTTCACGTCTGTCAACTTCATATCTTATGTCAATCACTTCCGTTAGCACAAAAGAACAGTTATTTTAGATTGTCATTCGATATGTGTTCTGTCATTCGGTTATGAAATTTGTCATAAAGTTATGTAACAATGTCTCAACGGATATGTGAAAAGGTGTACTGTAGTGATTAATCATGGCACTGTAGCCAGGTTAGACTATAGTGCATTTTTTCCCACCTGAGAAGAGATGCCCTGTCCCCTCCTCAAGAGTTATAGCTGATTGGCGGTTGCAAATCTGTTTGATTTCGTCCTGAAGTAATGATGTACAGGTGCTCCCCGACTTACGACGGGGGTTAGGGACCCAAATCCAGGTCGTAAGTCTGACATAGATAATAATAAAAAAAAAAAAAAAAAAAAATCTACAATGAAATACAGTACAGTAAAGGTAATAAATAATGAGGAATGGATAGTGTGACTGAGCACTTACCTTTAATGTAGTCAGCTGAATGCACATGGGGCCTCCATAATTTTCTAATTATACATGGAGACTACATTAACTGGAAACGTTTCGGTATAAAAAATGCGTGTGTCATTTGGAAAAAAAAAAAAAAAAAAAAATGGTCACAACTGCGGCGGTCGTAAGTCCCGACGGTCGTAAGTCCAAGCAGTCGTAAGTCGGGGACTACCTGTATTACTAAATGAGTTTATTCATAATCGTTGGGATGACCGTTTCTGACAAGATATTTAGCTAAATTATGTAAAAATACATACATTCATTTTTCAAACACGAGCATGTAGGAAGTTGATTAGAAATCAGATATATGAATTAACTGTTAACTCTGGTTCCAAATTCACGCTTTTGGAGGAAGCAGTCAACCCTCGTTAATTTGGACTAATAGGGAGGGAAGGGTGTCCGTTTTAGCCGATTGTCCGAATTAACCGATTTAGGAGTTAATATTGCATTATATTTCAAAGTCATTGTTTTCGTCACGATTTTATCCCACTTTCCACTGTAATACGTACGTCACTTCAGCAAAAATATTACATTTCCATGAATGTATTATATCAATCACAGTATGAATATAATATCATTGTAATATAACAGTATTTTAACCGAAAACTAGTAAAAAAACGAATAACATCTCAAGAACATCAGAAGCTTAGGTAAAGTCTTTTGTTTTTGTCATGTACAGTTAACCCTCACTTTACGCGGTTAATGTAACCCGGAGGGTACCGCGGAAAGCGCGAAACACGTAAAGTGAATAACATAACATATGGGATTAATTGAAATGGAGTCCAGGCCGATCCCCAAACTCCACTTTTTGACAACACATAACTATGTTGTAGTAAAAATAACATCTTAATTTTATGATGGTACATGCACACAATTAATACTTAAGAGAAATAGAGAAATACAGTCGCCAAGTTAATGACCATTCAAATAATGGACACACTCCCTCCTCCTCTTCTCACACTACACTGCTGGCTCTTCCCTCTGAGAAATTTTGGGGGGAAAACAGGGAATAGTAATAAATAATACCTCAAACTAAAGTTAGGATAATATAATTGACATTGCTGGATTCCTTGTAAGACCAGGAATATTTTGAATATAAATGTCATATATTTTTCACAAAAGATAACATATTTACTCAGATTAAACATTACATCTAAAACTTGTATGTCTAATGCAAAATCTATGATGTTTATATTCAAAATGATCATCAAATTGTAAGAATTCCAGCAATGTAAATTATATTCTGGCCGGGTAATTTGTATGAATTTTATGAGCTAAAACAAATATCTTCAGTTAATAAAAAAAAAAAATATTCTTCACGACACTATCTGTCAATCAAAGTACCCCACCTTGCCTCCCCCCCCTCTTCCAACCGCGCGGTCAGTCCCAACCCTCCCCCCCACCCCCCACCAATCCTCCCTTCAAGAGATGTTGGGTGAAAAAAATAAATTTTAACATTTTGTATTAAATAATACCTCAGATTAAAGTTAGGATAATATAATTGACATTGCTGGATTCCTTGTAAGACCAGGAATATTTTGAATATAAACGTCATATATTTTGCACAAAAGATAACATACTTACTCAGAGTGAACATTTTATCTAAAAATTTTATGTCTAATGCAAAATATATGATGTTTATATTCAAAATGATCATCAAATTGTAAGAATTCCAGCAATGTAAATTATATTCTGGCCGGGAAATTTGTATGAATTTTATGAGCTAAAATAAACATCTTCAGTTAATAAAAAAAAAAATATTCTTCACACAGTAACAGATGGTCGGTCGCCGGTCCCTCCCTCCCTCCCCCCACCAACGTCCCTACTAGATAAATGTGTGGGAATACCAGACTGTTTACCTTTTTAGTAATAAATAATAAATCAGACTAAAGTTAGGATAATATAATTGACATTGCTGGATTCCTTGTAAGACCAGGAATATTTTGAATATAAATATCATATATTTTGCACAAAAGATAACATATTTACTCAAGAGTAAACATTACATCTAAAATTTGTATGTCTAATGCAAAATCTATGATGTTTATATTCAAAATGATCATCAAATTGTAAGAATTCCAGCAATGTAAATTATATTCTGGCCGGATAATTTGTATGAATTTTATGAGCTAAATTAAAATAATTATACTTCACCCGTGTAAAGGGGTACACCCACCGCGGAATGTGAGCATCCTGGGTTCTGGCAGGGCACCGCGTAAACGTGGAAACGCGGAATGTGGGACCGCGTAAAGTGAGGGTTGACTGTATTTTATCCTATTTTACATTGAAATACATCACGTTTCAGCAAAACTACTATTTATTTCCGAGAATATATTCATTCAGGCGCAGTTTAGGTAAAATATACATGTGATGTAACAGTTTTTTAACTGATAACGATTCGAAAAACACGTACCCTCTAGCCCTGTTCAAGGAGAGGACTGGGAGAAGCTGTTTGGTGCTGCAGACGACAAGGAAAATGATTTGGATGGATTTTAATGAAAATATTCAGAAATATGGTATCGTAGTATTTATTCAAGTCAATTAGGATAGAATATTATTGTAATACAACAGTTTTTTAACTGAAAACCAATCGAGAAGCGATTACGGTAACATCTTTTGAACGAAAGAAAGCGAAAGTCATTGTTTTCGTCACGATTTTAACCCACTTTCCACTGTAATACGTACGTTATTTCAGCAAAAATATTACATTTCCGTGAATGCATTATATCAAGCACAGTATAAATAGAATACCATTGTAATATAACAGTAT